AGTCGAGCTATCTTGAATATATATTATGTCAACCGATTATAACTCTTATTATTTAGTCAATCGACGACTTAATAGTAACAACCGAGCAATACTCTAATGATGAACATTTTCATTTACAACGTTTCCAAAATCACCAAATAATTCTAAATTTCGAAAAATTAGTATAAAAAAATTGGTACACAAATATGGTAGAAAAATTCAAGCAATGTAATTTGCAATCTTCTATTACAAATTATGTTCATGAGTTTTTTTGGATATTCTTTTAATGAATGTTTCCTAATTTCTACTATGCACAAATCAAATCCAACAGCAATTAAACTTATGCTGCTATTTCAAAAAACAAAAATCAAGAAAAGAAAACGCAGGATTCTTTCTATGATGACGTAATCAACGTGTCTTCACTATAAATTAGTCGCCCTTCGCCTTCATCTTCTTCGTATCACACAAGCGAAAAGATAAATACAAGATATATACTTAATTTTTTTCTATAATTAATATAAATGGCGAACGCAGTTCCGGTAGCCCAAAAAGCGTGCGCTGCTTGCAAGCACCAACGCAGAAAATGCGACCAAAACTGCGCGCTTGCCAAGTATTTCCTGGCGGAAAGATCCGACGATTTAGAAAACGTGTACCATCTTTTCGGGATGCACAACACGTTGAAAATATTAAAATCGGTGGAGGAAGAAGAAAGGGATGCAACGACTGAGAGCCTTATTATGGAGGCGAAAATGAGATTAGAACATCCCGTGCACGACCACTTTTCTGTGGCGAGAAATCTTAGCGTCGAGATTGAAAAGACAGAGAAAGAGCTCGAAATTGTCTGCCAAAAAATTCACATATGTAAAGGGGCGGATAATCGGGTCGGCCCGTCGACCCGTGGAGGGCAGCCCGATCAACCGTGAATGTGTTTTGGTAAAATAAAACTTTGTATTAGACCTAGGCTGCTCGAACGTGTATTTATAGTGCGTAGGGCGATAGTGTATTAATACATTTTTGTAATTGAAAATCCTCGGTCGAGATATTTACATTAAATCGACTTACATCACGTGTATAATTAATTGAATGGTTTTTACCTTTTTAATTTAATCCGATCCGTTGATTTTTATTTATTTTTTCCATGGTTGACGTGTTTGTTTATCCGTTATCCGTTAATTTTCAACGAAAGGAATCGCTAAGTTTGTTTTTCGTTTACATTCTTTTACAACTAATGAACTAAATAAAGATTGTATTGTTACAATTATATAAATATATATTTTTTCAAATTTTGATCTTGCTTTTAAATATTTCTTGAGATATTTTTGTTTGCTATGTATACTAATTTGAAAATGAATGGGCCCAACTGAGCAACTATTTTCTCACAAGGTATTGGGCCATAAAAATATCATTGGCCCAATAAAGTGAATGACGTCATATCTTTAAAATTGAAATGCGGCAAACATTGAATAAAGGATAAAAAAATCCTAAATCGTGGACTAATTGTTCGGTAGTTATATGCTACACTTGATTATTTACATCGGGTGGATTCGAGTCGTTGATTAGATTAGATAACTACACACTAAACACATTTACACATATGTGTGTTTGGAATTATGTATAAATTTACGATTCAAATTCACCAAATATAAATAACCAGAAATAGTACTCAATTTCAGCTAATTGCCTGATAGGTTAATGGATTTGTGTAATAGATACAACTTAAGTGGTACAAGTGTACATATTAGCCCTAAGTAGTTAACCCGGCCATGATGATTTTCATTTCTAGTTGATAATATATTTAATACTGTTATTTTTATTTTACAAATGACTTCAATCAAATATATGTGAATTCGGTAAATCTCACTGACTCTTGACTCTTGTGCAGTAGCATATAAATCATACAAAATATGTTCTTTGTTCTGTTAAAAAAATCGAACTCAAATCATTAGACGTCGCACTGTCCTTGCCATTATAGGCCATTTGAAATTCTTTCTATTATTCACATGTAGGAATAATTTCCATTTCCTTTAATAATTTGTGGGGTAAAAACAATTCTTTAAAAAAAGAAAATCTTCTTTTTTTTCTCTGACCTATTCGGTTGAAAGTCACATGCAACGTAGACTGGTGTAAGAAATAAGGACCAATAATAAATAAGCCAACACTCATAAACAAATCCTGACCACCGAATTTGATCGTGTCAACACGATCAAAAAAATATCTATTTAATTCCACAGAGGAAAATAAAATAAAATATCTTTTTTATTATCCGAGGTCGTCGTGTTCCCTGGAAGGCGAAATGACCAAAATGCCCCTCCGATGCCGGAGGGTATTTTCGTCACCTTTTACCTCTCCGCCCCTCTGTTGAGCATATCTTTGTACCTCAAAATGGAGTCCAGCCTCTGCAGCTTCAACTGCTGCCTGAACCTGCTGATGAAATCGTCGGCTTTCGCATCCACCGCCGCGTCGTCTTCGCCGCCGCCCGCCGCCGTTCTCTCCCTCACCGTCGCCGGCCTCCGCCGATCCACATCCTCCTCCTCCTCCTCCCCGTCCATCTTTCCGGCCGGCGTCATTCTCTCACTCACGGACTTCTTCAGCACCTTCTTCGCCGGCGGCGCCGCCGCCTTCTTCTTCTTCACCGGATGGGACTTGCTCCTCGTCACGGGATGGAATTCTTCCACGGCCTTCTCCACTTCCTCGGGATCTTGTTCATGGTGGACGACGGCGTGTTGTTGTTCTTGAGCCGGGACGACGGCGGCGTGGTGGTGATCCGGGCCGGGCTGGTCGAATTGGTACCGGGAGAGGTTGAAGGACTTGACCCGTTCGAAAAAACCCGGAACCCGGCCGAGCTGGCGCGGCTGTTCGTCGTTGTTGTCTTCGCCGGAGTTCTGTGGATTTCTGCGAGGCTTGACTATTTTCGATCTCATAAAAATGGTGCCGATCATTAGGTTCAGAAGGCAGAAAAGAACAGTCGGCGTTAGCCAATTCGCCACCAGTTCTACTCCGTAACCGCCCATCGTTAATCTCCCTCCGACGAACGACCAATACGACGTCGTTCGTTCACAGTATGACTTTCGTTTAGCTGTAGAGAGAGAGAGAGGGTAGTCTAGAGAGAGAGAGAGAGTCTGTTGTGATGTCTGTTCTGTGTGTTTGTGTGTGTGTGTTTTATACTGGGTGGGAGGGAGAGGGTGAAACGTGGAAATTTGGATATATATGTGGTCAAACTGTAATAGGATAAAAAGTGTAAATCCTTATTTGAAATAAATAAATTTTAAGATTGAGACCGTTGAAATTAATTATCTAATTAATTACAATTTACAACTTCGGTTAGCATTGTATGTATGAAGTTACGATGTCGACAATTTTAATCTGTTTATTTTATTTCTAATTTATTTATACCTTTAATTTGTTTAATCTGGGTAGGTTTAATAGATGATTTAATATTGCTTATTTAATTTTCAATTAAATCCATAAGGTCGTCTTGGAAATTGCACACATTATTTATGTTAAAACAATTTGGGGGATAAAAGATATTATGAGTTTAATAATATAAATTTAATATATTATCAGTTTAGAATTATTTTCCATATATTTGAGCAGAATATTATTTACAATCATTATTATCTTCAACTTTATAAAAAGAGTTTTGTGTAGATAAAAGATACTTTTCTTTCTTATTTCCATTTTTCACTTCAATTAATTGGAAACATTGGAACTTTATTCGACCTGAATTTTATTTTTTTCGTAAATATTTAATGAAAAATTACAGCCAATATGATGAAGAAATTATTATTATATAATAAAAGTATTTAATTAATGGGAAAAATAATATCCACAAGACTACAAGATATTTTAGGTCTAACGAACAATATGCTATTTCTTTGTCCCAAACATTTCTCTCAAGACAAATACAGTGGTGGAAACATTAAACTCTACAGTGATGTGTCTGTCTTCTCTCTCTCTCTCTCTCTAGATAGATCTATCTCTCTCTCTCTCTCTAAAAAATATAATATATTGAATAATATGATGACGTATGGGGTAAGTGAGATATGTTGATATTTTTTACATAATTCTCTGGAAACATGCATCCAATGATGACATCACTCCAATTTTAAATTAGATTAGATACATATTATATATGTGTGTTTTAGCAATTATTTAAACTGCAACCGGAGTGTATATAACATTTGGATGAGCGAGAGGACAAGTCGGTATTAAGTATTTTATTCTTTTTTTAGACCGGAGGACCTGTTTTTAATAGGAAAATCGGATATCGGAGAAGGACTGGCACGTGGATAGTTTAAATAAAAATATAATTAAGATTCTAATAATTGGAAAAAAGAAAAAGAAAAAAAAAAACTCCAGCATAATTCATTACTCATCTAACCCTAATCATAATCAGCGTGATTAATTAAAAGATAAGACTAAAGAGTGTCACATGTCAAAAAATTAGAAGAATCCGATTTATATTAAATATCGGCTCATCCGCACAGAATTTAATCTCTATATTTAATTGCGTAATACTAGTTTTTATATTATAAGATGCTTGCATAGGAATAAAATACAATTTTTATAGTTTTTATGATGTCATTTCTAAAATTAATTATCGAACCGCAAGACACTCCCTCCTTTCTTAATTAGATGTTGAACTTTGCACTGAGTATTAAGAATTTCAGTGAATATATCTTGATTTTACGAAGAAAAAAAAAATACATTAGAAAGACTAAAATAACCTTGATCGTTCAATGATATGATAAGAGATAGTTAAATCTTATAGTTGAATTAATTAATAAGATTAAAATAAGAAAAATGGATTTAATGATGTATTTGGAATCTAACGCAACACAATATATAGAACAAAAATATTTTTAAAAAAGAAACAATTATTACGAAAAATAATGAGTATAAAAACATCGTTTGCTATGCAAACACATTTTTTTTGTAATTTCACTAATATTATTATTAAATAATTAGTATTAACGCATACAGCTTACCCATTTATTTATATTTGAGACCAACAGCTTACCCAATTAATTACTCAAGCGACTTTAGATATTTTTCTCTTCAAAAGGTCACAACTGAAAAGAGTTGCTTACACGTTTTATTCTTCTTTCATAAACTTAACGGCACTTCACTTTTGTGAAAATTTATGAAAGTTTGCCTTAAAATGGACAAAATCAACTACTTTCCGTTTGGAATCATGTTATTTATCCACGGTTATTAAATTGATTTTTAAAGTATAGACAAAACCTCTCTTTTTTCTAAATAAAAATAAAATATTTTGTTGGATTTTGAGGCCAACTGAATTATTCTAATTCAATCCATTAACTCATATCTTTATTAAGGAAACCCAACATGTTCTCAGTCCAACAACACAAAAGTCCAATACTCGGTCAAACCTTGAGAACTCTCTAGAACTTCTATCTAGACCGTTGATTTTGATCTTTTGGTTGTCTTAAGTTTCCGACATTTTCTCTCTCGTTATCTCTCCTCTTATTATTGTACCACTGTATTTAATTATTCTTGTTTACTTTCCGCAACACTCTCGTTGACGATGACGATGGTTGTACCTAAAATGTCTTTGACCATTTTCCTTTAATTTATCCAAATATATCGATGTATATTGTTCACATTTTTTTCTTTCTAAAACATAATTTTTTATTTCAAAATAAAGCATGTCTTTAAAAAAATGAACGAGTAGAAACATATACTTTCATTAGCATTTTCGTACTTTAATCATCACTTCAATCTCAATTTATTTTAGAGAGAGAGAGAGAGAGAGCGCCACATATTTAAATGGTCGACATGAAAAGAAAATTTCATGGGGTTCGTCGTCCACGCGGGGAAAAAGACAAATATAAGATAGGTGCATGGAAACTTAATTAAGATTTTAGTAATTATTAGCTGGTTGGTGGTGTGGACTTGTACGAAAATATTTGAGCAATTAATATATAGAAAATAATAAATTTTGAAAATGATGTAATTTAAGTCGTGTAATTAATTATTAAGGTTCGCACTTACTGTAACTAGTCAAGTTCACACTTCATTTTCTGGGGCCATGCAACATTTGAAAACGTGACAAAAGTCTTTGCTTAGCTTGTTGAATATTTAACCTTTAGCCCATACCAAAATCCTTTATGATGAATTGTCTGATTATTTGATTTCACAATCTTTATATTTCTAATTTTGATAAAGGTACCCATAATTAACGATGGGACCAAACTAATCGCTACTCGACTCATGATCGTTCTTTAAAAATTTGTTTGTTCTATAATGAACCAGATTTGAATGCAGTTATGTTGCATAAATTATAGATGTACTCGAATCGAGGTCGATATAACTTTAAAATTCAGACAAAGTTATGCAAACATAACATCGTCTCGAGCTCGACTCAATTCATATTACCACTCTACATTCACAAGATTAATGGGCTCTCTCATGTATTAGTGGTTAGACTGTTAGTTTAATATGGGGGCCCAAATGTCTGATCGGGCCCAAGCCATATGACCCACCTGGCGGCCCATTTCCAAGGAGTCGGCCCATCCTCACTTAAGCCCATGCAGCTTGTAATCTTGACCGTTGGATGACGGGACTCGATCTGGACCGTTCATCCCTCACTTATATACTCTCTCCTTCTCCTGCTAAGTCTCAAACCCTAATCTCTCTTCTCTCTCTCTATCCGCCGCTGCCTCTCTTCTTTCCTTTCTTCTCCGATCTGCTCTCCGAGATCCATGGCAAGAATCAAGTCTTCAATGATTCTTGCCTTCGATATCTCGTCTCTGAGCCTATATAATCTTGGCATATTGAGAGATGAGGGATACGAGTGATACTACCCTTCTTTCTTCCTTCTGGTTTTCGATTCCTCTGTTGTGAGCAACTCGAAATCTTCGTGAGTGAGGGAAAATCTGATTTGGGTTTATACACTGTGGGAAACCGTATCCTTTGTGGGTTGGGTTGGGACCGAGACTGTGAGGGTATTTTGGCTGCGAGTCTTGTGAGGAAGGGAACCTGACACCGGAAGTGGAGCTGCGGCCGACTGGGCCTTGGACGTGGACTCGGGATCGGAGGACTGAGCCGTAGCCATTGTCAACCCCTTCTCAATACAGATCTGGGATCTGTCAAGATTTGTTCATTTCTTTGTTCTACTTTTATTTCATTTAATTATATATAGATATTATCTGTATCCCTAATTCCCTACTCCCATAGGTATTTCAATTCTTGTATCATTTGTTAATCTTTCTTATGGTCTGTAATTTAATCGCTATTTGAACGACCACCCAACAGTGGTACCAGAGCATCGTCAAGTTGGGTGGTGCTCGTTCAAATAGGGCGTACGGAAATCTAACCGGATTCCGCTCAGGTATTGTACCCTAAACCCCCTATGGTTGGGATTTAATTTTCTGCTGTGATTGGTACTGCCTTAACTTTTTCGATTATGTGGACTGTGAGCCACTTTGTGTGATTCGTGGTCTGTGTGCCACACTGTGTGTTTTCTGTTGTGGTCTGTGTGCCACTCTTATTTCTGTGTGAATCTTGTTCTTCCGCTGCATATATAATCTGCTCACTTATATATATAAATATTAAAGGGTGGTATAACTTGGATGCTCGACCTCACTTGACCGGACCGCAAGTGCCCTGGAATCCTGTGAGGGAGGGTCTCCAAGACTACCTATCCTTGTTGCATATGCATCTATCCCAATTTTGGTCTATAGTGAAAAATTGGTCTAATATCTTGCTTTGTGCTGAAATTACTATGTCTGCAATGTCTGCTTATACTATGGCACCTTTCGATGGTAAGGGTGATTTTTCTATTTGGAAACAGAAAATGAAAGGTGTGCTAATTCAACAAAGATGCTATGTGGCTCTTGATAAATCTTATGCTGCTGACACTAGTGCTGCTAAGAAAACAGAACTTGATGAACTTGCTTACTCTGCCATTATATTGAATCTTTCTGACTCTGTGATTAGAAAGGTAGGTATGCATGATTCTGCTAAAGGTCTTTGGGATAAATTAGATGAGCTGTACACTGAAACTTCTCTGCCCTCAAAACTATTTTTACTCGAAAAAATTTTTAGATTCAAATTGGATCTAACCAAAGATATTGATGAGAACATAGATCAGTTTACCAGATTAGTTCAGGATATTAAACTGACGGGAGACAAAAGTATTGATAACTATACTCCCATTGTTTTGTTAAATGCAATCCCTGATTCTTACAATGATTTGAAATCTGCTATTAAGTATGGTAGGGATAATATTTCTCTTGACACTGTCATAAACGGTTTAAAGAGCAAAG